TGGTTGTCTTGATGTCTTTGAGTGTAAAATGAGTACACGGATAACTGCTGAGAACAGTTCCACTATCAAAGCATAGCAATACTGTGCCTCATAAATCCTAGGCATAAAAATCTAGGCAAATACAAAACCACCAAAAAGTGTGCCTAGATTTATCAGAGAAAGCAATTGTATTGCTTTTCCATTGTTGCGGTAAAACACCATGACCAAAGCAACTTTTAGAAGGAAGGGTTTGTTTGGAGGGATAGGAGGCAAGGCAGCAAGTAGACATGGCAGATGGAGCAGAATGCTGAGCGCCCCCATGAGGTGGGGTAGATACTCAACTAATAACTGCCTTTTGCCTTTCCCCTTCTTTCCGTCTCATCCAAACCCTAGACAGGTGGTCTCTAGAGAAACTCCTGCCTCAAGACTACAGCTCCAGGACACTCAAGAAGAACATCTCCACAGGCCAATCTGGTAGGGGAATTTTCTCAATTAAGGTTCCTCCTTTCTAAACTTGACACTCTAGCTTGTGTAAAGTTGGAAAAAAAAATTAGCCAGCAAGCCATGCAAACATTTCTCTGCCTAAATGCATCAGTTGTAAACGTTTGAGAAGCTCAACCCTCTGTGACACATACAAGCAAAATAATTGTTTAATTATAACCCCAAACGGATCCAAAACTAGTTCCTATTTTATGCTCAGCAATCACAGGTGATCAATAAGGACAGTGATGATCAGTATGAAAGCTCAAGGCCAGGGAGCTGCCAGCTAATACCACACTGCTAGGAAGTGGCAGGGCCAGAACTTTTAAATCATGGTTTTCTGTATTCAAACCTTCAGCTTTTTCCGGTACACCTCTCTGTAGGACGACATTCCAAGCATGCACTTCAAAATCTGCATTAAATTTCATTCTCTGAAGACAGTTCAGATATATTTATTTTTCTTGTGGCTGGCAGGCGAACACTGAAGTACACAAAAACTCATATTCTCTTTGAACTTAGCAGGACTGAGGACACCAACCAGCATAAGCAGGCCAGGCCAGGTTTCTCCTTCCAGGTTCCCACCCAGAACACCCAAAAGCCAATCCTAGTTACTTTGCATAAATAGAAAAGAATTGCCCACCGCTCTAGAAATGTGCCTGGGAAGTATCCAGTTAAAGAGTGCAGATTAAAAAGAAAATAGTGTGCTGCCACTGACCGACATGCTCAGCTTTTGTTCTGTTTTAGCAATCACAGTTTCCTATTATCCTTCCTATACAAAGGAAGAATACAGAGACATGAAAGTAACTGTCAAAAATAAATTATATAATGAATAGATAAAAATATGGATTTTAAACATGGGCAATTACTGTCAAAAGATATTATTGAAATAAGCAGAATTAAAGTTTGTTACTCTTGCTTCTAAAAGCCAGGCAAGCAATAGACTTCTACGGCTATAAATAATATTGTAATTTATTACAATGCAGAGAAAAGAGGATGTATTCATAAAAATGGGGGGGTATGGCAAAAATATACAACTATATAATGGTAATAAATGAAAAGCAAAGACAATATCTAAAATTTTAACCACAAGGTTGGTTTTCTCTCCAGATACTAATGGGATGGCTGGGCATGCATGGAATGAAACAATGTGGTGAGTAAGCCTGAGCTGTGCCATGCAATGGATGTAGCACTGACATGGGCGTGAAGCAGTTTTGTATCACATGTCTAAAGACATGGGCTTCATAGTCACAAAACCCAGAGTCAAATGCTGGTTCTACCACTTAGCAACTGAAAAACAACAGTTTGATGAAGTTTTTAACAGATAAAACAGGGCATTTTGTTAACCTGTAAAGTAAAATAGCTGATGCAGAATTTTTATTGATTATTTTCAAAATTATTTTTTAAAAATATTTTCATTAACCAAAGAATATACATAAGGAATCAAATAAATTCTGCTACTCAGAGTCAAGAAAATCAAGTCTATGCCTTGAAGTGAAATAAGAACAGTACTGACCACTGGCACAGGAGATCACTTCCTAAATATTACCCCAGAGCAGCACAGACACTCAGAGAAACAATTAATAAATGGGACCTCTCGAAACTGAAAAGCATCTGTAAAGCAAAGGACACGGTCAATAAAACAAAACAGAATGGGGAAAGATCTTCACCAACCCCACATCAGACAGAGGGCTGATCTCCAAAATACACAAAGAACTCAAGAAATTGGTCATCAAAAGAACAAATAATCCAATAAAAAAAATTGAGTACAGACCTACACAGAGAACTCTCAATAGAGGAATCTAAAATGGCTAAAGACACTTAAGGAAATGCTCAACATCCTTAGTCATCAGAAAAATGCAAATCAAAATGACTCTGAGATTCCATTTATACCTATAAGAATGGCCAAGATCAAAACACTGATGATATGCTGGAGAGGATATGGGGAAAGGGAACACTCCTGCACTGCTGGTAAGAATGCAAGCTGGTACAGTCCCTTTGGATGTCAATGTGGCAATTTCTCAGAAAATTAGGAAACAATCTTCCTCAGGACCCAATAATACCACTCTTGGGTATAGACCCAAAGGATGCTCAATAGTGCCACAAGGACATGTGCTCAACTATGTTCATATAGCAGCATTATTTGTCACAGCCAGAACCTGGAAACAACCTAAATGCTCCTTGACTGAAGAATGGATAAGGAAAATGTGGTACATTTACACAATGGAGTACTACACAGCAGAAAAAAAAATGACATCTTGAAATATGCAGACAAATGGATAGATCTAGAAAACATCATATTGAGTGAGGTAACCCAGACCCAGAAAGACAATTTTCACATGGACTCACTCATAAGTGGTTTTTAAACATAAAGCAAAGAAAATCAGCCTACAAATCACAATCCCAGAGAATCTAGACAACAATGAAGACCCTGAGAGAGACTTACATGAATGTAATCTACATGGGAAGTAGAAAAAGACAAGATCTCCTGAGTACACTGGGAGCATGGGGATCATGGGAGAGAGTTGAAGATGAGGAGAGAAGAAGAGAGGAGAGCAGAGAAAAATGTATAGCTCAATAAAATCAATTTAAAAAATTTTAAAAAAAGAACAGTACTGATCACACGCTCCCTGGGAAAGCCATTAGCCTTGATACAGGGCACTATGTATATCTGGAAGACAATGCATTTTTTAGATACAGGTTGAAGTATCTGTTCCTAATAGAATTGAGTCATAATTACTCCAATACTATGTGATTAAGTTTTTGCCCCTATACCAAAATGTCACATTTTTCTTAGCAGCATCTATAAATATAAACCCTTCTTTAGGACATTTGAGTTCTCAACATAATTAATAAAGATATGTCCATACTAATCAACTACAAATTTAGCTTGAGGAATATAGTCCTTTTGGTGTACTCAGAAGCAGAGAGAGAAAGAGAAACGAGGGAGGAAGGGAGGGGTGAGGAAGGGAGGGAGGGAGGGAGGGAAGAAAAAAGGAATGTGTGTGGGCACTCATATGTGTGTTTTCAAGTGACTAGTTCACATATGCCAAAATAACACCTCTGTACCATTTAACTACTTACACTAAATACCCAAAGTTAATATTGGTAAAAATGTATGCTTAATATTGTAAAATAAAAGTTTAAACAAAACTTCAAAAATTCCACAACTTATTATTTTTTAATTTTTAAATTATGAGCTAACAATTTTTTCCTATACAAACATGAATTCACAGAAATGTTTTCAAAGCAAAAAATGCAATATCCTGAGCAAGTGTAAAGAAACTAATAAAAAATGAACTGCGGGGTCAATGAACACCTTGAGTAAATAGTAAGAGAATATTCCTAGAGCATTACTTCAGTTCCAACAATAAACTGTCAACATACAAACATTATAAAGCCTACCCAAACAACTGTAATTAGAACATGCACACTGGCCTTGCTGTCTGTCTTGGGACTTGCTCATTTAAACATAATTTCCAATGAAATTCTCCTAGCATCCAAATTTACTTTAAATCAAAGCTCTGTTCTAAGCATTGTATAAACCATATTAAGCCATTCTAAGTCAATATTTATTTCCAGCCAAACAAACAAACGTAATGGCAGATAGTGTTGTACTTAACGAAATGGCAACGAATTCCACAAGTTCTACTTAAGTAGATTATAAACTGGCGAGCAGGTTCCATGCCAGGCAAGGAAATGCTTCCCGTCTGTGGAAACTGAATGGAGTTTCCATCTTATCAGGGTTTTGCTCTTCATAACCAGCCACAAGAAAGGTCAGAATAAAATAAAACACACATGCATGGGACACTGAGGTCTCCAGCACCATGGCCTGTATCAGAGATGTCTCCATACTTCTCCCAATGAGGCCCACCGGGGTCTAAAACATACGTAAGCTGCCTCACTCGAGCTTATCTGAGCAGGGATGTCTGCACACATGTAAACATGTACATACACTCACGTTCGAGTTACTGAAAGGAAACTTGGACTGCTTTAAAAAGTATTCATGCTTTATGTACAGGCTTCAAAAGCTCCTAGGCATAACTGATACCACTGAAATCAGCATTATACAAAGATAAGTCATTAAAAGAGTCAACACACTACAAGTGGAGGTGGATCATTACAGTCTCTGGTAACTGTAGATTCTCCCCAAACTACTACAGTCTACTTTACTGGGAAGCTAGTGTGTCATTTGGAATAGTACTAATTAATTAAAATTCAAATGAAGTATTGCAGGCTCAAAAATATTAAACTCCTGAAAATGGCGATTTCTAATCCCAAAACACTGTCTAGCACCTTACAAAACAATTTTTCTCTGAGGATTTTGCTGTTTGACCAAGGCTTTGACACCACCAAATATAAATTCTGAGAGGGACTTAGCAAACCTATTCCACCACCACTACTGGAAAAGGACACTTTGGGAGAGACAGGCTGACCCTGCCGGTGGCTGGAGATGGCCCCCTCCTCCCGTGTGACGGTCTCTACTCAGAACCCTGGTTTCTGTATACACAGGATCTGCGGTCGACAATGGTGCTCGCACTCACCTGTGATCTTCTGCAGCAACGGTGACAACTGGGACTCCTCAGAGAAGACATGGGCCAGTGCTGTCTTCACGCTCTCTTCAGCCTCTCTCAGGTCACCGTCCAGGGTGAGCTCCCCAGCGACAGAGTAGATGTAAATGAGGAGGATGAGAAGCTCCTCAGGGCTGGAGTCCTCACTGGTTCTCTGGCTTGGGGACTTAATCATAGGCAGCACCTGATTAAGCACAACAGCCATGGTTGAATCGCCAAGGCTCTGAAACAGAAGCAAGGACAGGAGGATACGTCAGCCTTCCACAAAGACAGAACATTAGTTCAAAGATGCTTGCGAAATCTTTATGGTACTCATTGACCGCAGTCTTTCAGGTCTGCGTTTATTAATTCTGACGAGAACACTGCAAGAAGTCTGGCATTAGAAATTTTATTCTGAAAAACATTTGATAAAATGACAAGTGAAGTTGCAGGCCCTTTGATAATGATCCTACTGTGGTTTGAGCAAATGAGATGGAGATTTTTTGAAACTAAAATGTAAGTGGTTCAACGGGCAAGGGATGTAGCTCAGTGGCAGACCGCTTACCTAGCACACACAAGACCCCAGGTTTGATCCCCAGCTCTGTAAGAAAATGTAAGCATTTTAAAATCTTGAAAACTTAAACAAAAATGTAAAGCAATACAATTTAGAAAAACAAACCTGGCAGATTATCTATTTGAAGGACTGCTGATGCTCCTTAACAGAATTTACATATTCAAATGAGTGCGGATTCTCCTTTAAAGGAATCAGTCTTTGTCCTGGAACAGAGATCTGCCTGTCTCTGCCTATGATTAAAGGCATACGCCACCACCACCAGGCTTCAGGATATCCTTTTTGAATGTTCTATGTTGGCAAACACTGGCCAGAATATCTATAGCAACCAAAGGTGATTTCCTGCTAACTCTGACAAATAAAATAATGGCTCCAAATGGAAATGGGTTCAATATTTCTTTGGGTGAGTTTGAAGGTAATTCAGCTCAACTTCTTAATATATATTTTAAATTTTTCTTCATTGATTTTTATGTGTATACTGTTTTGCTACATGTGTGTGCACCATGTGCATGCTGGGTCCAGAGTCCAGAAGAGGTCATTTGATATTCAGGGACTGGAGTAACAGATGGCTGTGAGCTTCCATGTGGGTTCTGGGACTCAGACCTAGGCCCTGTGAAAGACTGGCAGAGCTCAAGCCACTGAACAGTCTCTCCAGTCTACCACCTCAAATTAAAAAAAAAAAATGGTTTTAGTCCTTCTACCAACTTCTTAAATGACACTCAGAAGATAATTTCAGGATTCTTTACACGTGATAAGAGCACTGCATCACTGGAGTTACTATGTCAAAGAACTACACACACCTTCAGTACCAATCTTGAAGTTTTGGGTAAAGAGACACTAGTTTTCATATTCAAATTAAAATCCAAGTTATCAGAACCTGAAACTTCCATCACTCCTGTGTTCCCTGAATGGTGCAGGATTCCCCTCTGTATGCTGTGAATACCATTGGTTAATAAAGAAGCTGCTTTGGGCCTGTTGATAGGGCAGGACTTAAGTAGGTGGGGAAGATTAAACTGAATGCTGAGAGAAAGGAGGTGGAGCTAGAGAGAAGTAATGTAGCCCCACAGGCAACAGATGCCGAAATTTTAACCTGTAAGCCACAGCCATGTGGCAAGACACAGATTAATAGAAATGGGTTAAAATAAGATGTAAGAGTTAGCCAATAAGAAGCTAGAGCTAATGGGCTAATCAGTGATTTAATTAATATAGTTTCTGTGTGATTATTTTGGGGCTGAGCAGTTGGGAACCAACAAGCGGCCTCCTTCAACAACTGAACACCTACTATGTTGCATTATTGTAGGCCTGAGAAACAGAGCAGACACATTCTCTACTCTCATAGTTCATGTCAAGGGGAAAACATGATTGAAAAACCGAGACAGTAAATGCTGTGGTGCAGCAGATGGTGGTAAGTACTAGCAGGGAAAAGGGGAGCAGGAAAGGGAGATGGAGAGGCAGGACTTCAGGGACTTCTCACTCTTTATATAGGAGAAGTCAAAGCAAGAGGACACAGGGACAGAGCAACCCTGCAAAGATGCTTTCTTTGAACAGAAAGATGCAAACAGCTGAAGGTTATTGCAAGGAGAGGGCCACCCCAAAAGAGCTCTTCCAGCCACTTCCACTCAAGGAGAGAGACACCCCAAAAGAGCTCTTCCAGCTACTTCTGCTCAAATTCAGACAGATCAAGACAGGGTTGCTCTGTGTAACAGCCGTAGCTGTCCTGGAACTAGCTCTTATAAACAAGGCTGGCCTCAAACTCAAAGAGATCCATCTGCCTGCCTCTGCCTCCCACGTGCTGGGATTAAAGGCGTGCACCACCACTGCCCAGCTACCATTTATTTCTAATATAATTATATGTTTATGACATTATGGCATATTACACAAAAAATAAAGTGCTAAGTCTTTGGAGTAGATAAGAATGGAAAGAGCAGAGATTTTACTGGCACATGGTAACAAGATGTGGTTTACCAAGTAAAAGCAAACTCACCCTCAAAGTACCAGGAGCAGAGGGTTCCCTGCTACTCCAGGTGCTAAGAGCCCCTTAAAGAAAGGAGCCATGTGGTTGGCCTGTCCAGAGAGGTTCACAGAGGCTGCAGCCTGTCTATTTGTTTCTTATTTCATTGTCAACTTCTTGGATTACTAGATGATTCCTGCATTGCCTCCCATCCAATTTCCTGACAGTCAGGGTTATATACAATGTATCTAGCCTGTAGGAGCCCTGTACCCTCAGAGAAGAAAGCCTTTTAAAAGATGGGTCTGAAGAGTGAGTCAGGGCAGGAGACTCATTTATAAAGATGTACGTGCTAGCATCCGCCTCTTGAGCCCGCACTTTCAAGCCTTTGGTTTATGATACATGATAAAGAGTGAGATTCTTCAGTAGAGACACAAGCATGACTTCCACTGTTCACAGCAGCAAAATGACATTCAAAATATGCTTCAAGCATCCCAAGAAGTCAATAGTTGTCCTTGATACATAGCCAAAAACAGTAGGCAGTTACAAAGATGTAAGAATTATGGGAAAATACAAATAACCCATATTGTTCTTTTTTAAAAATAATGATGTTGGGATGTCCCGGGCAGCTCGCGGAGCAGCTGCTAGTGGCTGTGGGTCCCCACAAGATCTCCAGGGTGGCAGCGCCATGCAGCCGGGGGAGTCAGGGTCCCCAGGCGAGTGGCAGAGTCAGGCGGCTGGATGCGGTGGACGGCAGAGTAAATGGACATAAGGCTATACATACAGTTAGACATTTATTACTTAAAGAAAGGGAAACATAGACAAACACAGAGAGAACAAAGACACACACACACACACACACACATACACACGCGCGAGAGAGAAGATGGCAGCGGGCGGAGGTGGGGTCAGAAGTGGCTGGGGTGGGCGTGGTTAGTTCTTAAAGTGTCCCAATGGAATAACAACCCATTTTGAAAACCAAATTCCAGTTCTGACTGTTCCATTATGTTGTTCCTTAACATTGTAGGATCTCTTCATGTCTAAATAATACGACCTGATTAGAGCAGTGATACTCAACTTGTGGGTCACGACCCCTTTGGCAAGCCTCTACCTCTAAAAATACTTACATTATGGTTCATCACAATAGCAAAAGTACAGTTATGAAGTAGCAACAAAAAAATTCATGGTTGGGGTCACCACAACATGAGGAACTGTGTTAAAGGGTCACATCGTTAGGAAGGCTGAGAACCACTGGACCAGAGGATGGCAGAGCAGGAAGCCACATTATTCCAGGAGCTCCATTTACTTCATTACTGATGGAAGAAGGCAGTTAGTCGTATTATTACTGTTCCCTACTCAGCAAAATATAGACTACAAAAAAAAATTATCTTTACCATAGACAGGCAGAGAAGTTCAGAAAAACAATGAGAATGTGTGTGAAATAGGTAGGCTGATGTATTCCAGCTCTTTCCCCTGGGGTGATCTAAAAACCATGACACCTCAGTGGCAATGAATATATCCAGATCCTAGTCTCTGCTGTCTTTCTTTGGTAAAAAGAAACCAGAGATCTCCAAAGAGATGACTGACCCTAGGAAATGGAAAGAAAACACAGGAAAAACCTGGAAGATCTTATAGTGTCCCCCGCCCCCATAAAGAGATTAAGGATATGTCAAAAGGACCCCAGAGTCAACAGCAAGACTTCCCAGTAGACCACAGCCAGAATAATTTAAAAAACAACATGAAGTAGTATTTTCAAATAACCTAAAGAATACAAAAAAGTATTCATCTGTTCATATTGACATAACTGTGACTAAACTAAGGCTAGAAGGATGGCTCAGTCAATAAAGTTCTTGCCTTGCAAATATAAGGTCCCAAGTTCAATCCCCAGAACCTGTTTAAAGAGGGTGGTGGATTCCCTGAAGCTGAAGTTAGAGGTGACTAACCATCTGACATAGGTGTTAGGAACAGAATTTACATCCTCCAAAAAAGGAGTCAGCACTCTTAACCAGTGACCATCTCTTGTAGCTTGTTGGTCATTTTCTGATGTCTGCTTTTCTTAACAACAAGAAAAGATTGAAGACTTCCCAGATTGAAACCTTTTAAAGCAAAAGACATTCATTTCAGCAGGAATAACAGGATGTGTGAATAAGGTGGTGTTTGAGAGGACCTGTGTCACAGGCTGTATGACCTTGGGGAAAGGAAATAAAAATGCCTGAACATTAGCTAGCCCCATTACACTGGCATCCATTTACACAACATTGACACAAATTGTTTTGGCCCCTCTGCTTTAAAAATGAAGTAATCCCCACAAAAAGATAGTGTTCGTATAGACTCAAACTTAATTCTGTTTTCCGAGGGCTAACTTTGTAGAACACATTTGATATCATTTAGGAAGATACAATAATGGCCACTCTTCACCAGGTTGTTCTGTGAACTTCATAATGAAAGTAAGTCACACAGCAGTAGCTGGCATGTTATTTTGCTACCACTACCCAGTGCCCTAGGATCTCCTTCTCCACCCAGAAGGACTAGTTAAGAACACTGGTATGGGAATGGCATGTGTTCTAGGAAAGGACATTGGCAGCCTCAGAGGAAGGAGGGACAGTCTACAAACACTGGGTGTAAAACTCTATCGTGGGACTTCATTTCAACGGCCAGTGAAAAGCCAAGGAGAAATCAAATATTACTAAATGCTACTATTGAAAGACACAGCACAGCAAACCGT